GGCATGGTGGCACACACCTTTAATCCCAGCACTCAGGGGGCAGAGTTCAAGGCCAGCCTGGTCTACATAGGGAATTCCAGGCCAGCTGGGACTATAGGGAGACCCTGTCTCAAAAAGACCAAAAAAATTTTTTTTTTAATTTATTATTATTTTTTAAATTTTATGTGTATGAGTGTATTGTCTGCATGTATGAAAGTGTACCCATATCATGCAATGCCCAGAGGTCGGAAGGCAGCATCGGATCCCCTGGAACTGGAGTTACAAAAGGTCTTTAGCTGCCATGTAGGTATTGGGACTCGAGCCCGGTCCTCTGAAGGAGCAATCAGTGCTCTTAACCACTGACCCATCTCTTCAGCCCCCAATAAAAAAATTTTTAAGTAAAAGGGATGAGTAGGATATTCTTGAATGGCAGAATGTTTAAATAAATAATGAAATAACTGAATGGGGCTGTAGCTCAGTTTATAGGGCTACAAGCACAGTGTCTTGGATTTGTTCACCAACATAGCATAGACCAGGCATGGTGGCACATGTCTGTAATTGCAGCACACAGGAAAACCAGGAGTCAAGGTTAGCCTAAACTATACAGCAAATTCCAGGCCACCCTGGGCTACAAGAGACCCTCCAAGGAAAAGAACTCCTAGTGTGGGAAGGCCTTCAGGGTGAATGGCACAGGCAAATTCCAGGAGAGATGCTTGCCTATATAGGAAGACAGGAGAACTAAAACTTGAGATACCCCCTCTAGCAGGACACACAAAGATCTGAGATGAACCACACTGAAACACTCTTTGAATAAACCCCTAAGGAGACACTTAAATATATGCAGATAGCCTTCAGGGACAGGGAGTATCACTAGGACAGGCCTCAAGAGACAAGGGGGGAGAGCCCTACCATGTGTCAGGACTCAGGTGGCCAAGCTCTGAGACAGCCCCTCAGATAAGGGCCTTGAGATGGCCCTCTGATGGGGGAAGACTCCCAAGATAGTCTAAAAGGTTTTTAAAAACCAGAGATATACACAATTTAGTGTGAGTAAACTACTCCCCAGTGAGATACTCTGTGTCAGCCTTACTTCTTTGCAATGTTAAGCATCTTGAGTTTCTTCTTGATGCGGGGTCGGGAAGTGGTGGAGACTGATGCATCCACCAGGGAGGAAGTAGACTGTGACACCTGGAAGAATTAAGAAATTGGGCCACTGAGAGGGTAAGTTAGGACCTCCCCGATTAGGGTAGCTGCTCAGAGCTCAGCAGACCTCCAGGGAGTGCAGGGCTCTGGCCTCCCTCCAGCCTCCAACTACCAGAGGGCCTGAGAACCCAGGGGACAGCCTGATAGCCCCTGGATCCTGCCTCCATGTGGTGGTCCTTTTACTAAAATGATGCTATACAGCAGTCCCTTCTGCATGAAATAACTGCCATCATGACTTCGGCTGAGCCTGATTGATAAACATAGTCACAACTGGGCTTGTTGATGGTTGTGCTCATTCATTAAAAGAGGGCCAAGCAGGGTCA